TCTCTCTCTCTCTCTCTCTCTCTCTCTCTTTTTCTCTGGCAAGTGCATGTGCCTCCTGACAAATACAATTTTTAAATGATAAATAATAAATGGAGAATGGATAAGTTTCCCTTAACAGAAGAATTCCAAGTAATATATCTAGATATTATCTCCCCAGGAAGTGAACCTTAATTCCTTTTCACTTGAGCATAAAATGGGCCTCGTGACTCACTTCCAAAGGATAAAATATTGAAAGAAAAAGTGACAACTTTGAGGAGGAGAAACCTGGCAGACACCACCATAACCAAGTGATCAAGGTTAGTATCACCAGAGACAGGAACCAGCAGTTAGCGTAATGGCTATGTCGCTGGACTCCCACGTAGTCGACCGTGGTTCGTGTCCCGGACCCGGTGGCTTAAAACTCACGCCGGGCGCGTGTGCGTGCGTGCCCAAGATCCCAAGAGGAGAATGGAGGAGAAGGGATTGCTGCGTGACCATCCCCCCTGGGGGGTGATTTCTCGCTTTCTGTCTCTATGTCTCTCTCTGTCTGTCTGGCGAGCGTACGCGCCCTAGAGTGAAAATCTCTCAAAAAAAAAAAAAATCACCAGAGACAAGTCATGTTGATGACATCATGTGCCCCAGTGGGATGAGAAAGGCTCCTTGTTTTCCTCCCAAAAGCCTTCAAAATCCCAATTATAGGAAAACGTAAGATAAACCCAAATTGAGGGACATTCTACAAACCACTTAACCAGTACTCCTCAAAAGAATCAAGGCCATTAGAAAAGATAAAAAAGAGAGACTTGTGGGACCAGCAGTTGGTGTAATAGCTATGTCGCTGAACTCCCATGTAGTTGACCGAGGTTCGAGTCCTGGACCCGGTGGCTTAAACTCACACCAGGTGCATGTGCATGCGTGCCCAAGATCCCGAGAGGAGAATGGAGGAGAAGGGATTGCGGTGTGGCCATCCCCCCTGGGGGTGGGGGGTGATTTCTCGCTTTCTATCTCTCTGTCTCTCTGTCTTTCTGGCGAGCACACGCACCCTATAGCAAAAACCTCTCCAAAAAGAAAAGAGAGAGATTTTTCACGGGCCAGAGGAGATTCAGAGGCCTGTTCACTAAATGCAGTGTGGTAGTCTGGATTGGATTGGAGAACAGAAAAGAAGACCTTAGTGGAAAATAAGAATTTAATTAACTTCATTTATTTTTATTATTTTTAAATCTGACTAGAAAGAGAGCACGCGTAAAAGAAAATGAGAAAGCAAGCCACCAGGTCTGGGATTCGAACCACAGTCAACCATGCAGAAGTCCAGTGCCTTAACTACCATGCCACCTGCTATACCAGGGTGGAAAGGTAGGGGTTCTCTACCTGTCTCTGATAAACATGCTCCTCTGGCAGAAAACAAAACAAAACAAAAACAGGACCAGTAGGTGGTGTGGTGGTTAAGGTGTTGGACACGCTCACATGGCCAACTACCATTCAGGTCCCAGACCTGGTGCATTGCTTTCTCACTTTCCCCCTCTCTTTCTCTCTCTCTGGTCAAATTAAAATAAATGAGTTCATAAATAAAACTAAATAATTCTTTTTTTAAAAAAAGGAATTAAAATATTCAGTAACAGTCATGAGGCTGGCCCCACAGCACAGCAGTTAAAGGCAGAGCAGAGGAAGCCAAAATACACACTGGGTGGACAAGTAGATCCAGATGGGATGGAGAATGGAGGAAAAATTATCACAGCATAATCAGGCCCAATGTGAGGGGTGGTTTTCTTTTTTCTTCTCACTCTCTGTCTCACCTCTGGCATAGAAAAACTAAAGCAGCTGGGGAACCAGCACTTAGCGTAATGGCTATGTCGCTGGACTCCCACATAGTTGACCGCGGTTCGCAACCCGGACCCGGTGACTTAGAACTCACGCTGGGCGCGTGTGCGTGCGTGCCCAAGATCCCGAGAGGAGAATGGAGGAGAAGGGATTGCGGCGTGACCATCCCCCCTGGGGGGTGATTTCTCGCTTTCTGTCTCTATGTCTCTCTCTGTCTGTTTGGCGAGCACACGCGCCCTATAGCAAAAACCTCTCCAAAAAAAAGAAAAACTAAAGCAGGTGGTGTGGAGATTAAGGCACTGGATTCTATGTGGCCAGATGTGCAGTTTGAATCCTTGAAACTCATGTCAAGTACAGGTGCATGTATGCCAAAAATTCAGAAGAGACTGGAGGAGAAGGTGATTTCTCGCTTTCTGTTTCTTGTCTTTCTGGCAAGCGTACGCACCCTATAGCAAAAAAACTCTAAAAAAAGAAAAAAAATAAATAAAAATAAAAAATTATCTGTCAGTTATTAAAAAAGAAAAAGAAATTGAATTTGTAGTTTAAAAACCTTATGTGGACCAGCAGTTGGCATAATGGCTATGTTGCTGGACTCCCATGTAGCTGACTGCAGTTTGAGTCCCGAACCCTGTGGCTTAAAGTCACACCGGGTGTGTGTGCATGGGTGCCCAAGATCCCAAGAGAAGAATGGAGAAGGGATTGCGGTGTAGCCATCCCCCCTAGGGGGTGATTTCTCGCTCTCTATCTCTCTGTCTCTGTCTTTTGGAGAGTGCACACACCCTAACGCAAAAACCTCTCCAAAAAATGGAAAAAAAAAAATATATATATATATATATTTGGTCTTCTGTTTACATACAACTTGTAAAATCCTTGGAATCTCCAAAGTGATATAATTTTGTATGCTGATGAGTTCACTAATGGTTGACAGCTGCTAGACTGCTTCAAGATTGGGGCTGGTCACAGGAAAGGCCAAAGCAGGATTAAAGGGTAAGACTTTCAGCAACCCCCAACCTCCTAGGAGGGGACAGGGACTGAAGGTTAAGTTGATCACTACAGGCCAGTGATGGAATCAATCACGCCCAGGTAAGGAAGCCTTCATAAATATCCAGATGCCTAACCCTATGCATCTCTTCACCTGTATATCCTGAGAAATACACTTTCAGTAAACTTGTAAACATAAGTGTTTCCCTGAGTTTTGTGAGTCACTCTAGCAAATTAATTGAACCTGAGAAGGGGAAGGGAATTGTGGGAAATCTAACTTAGAGCTGGTCAGTCAGAAACACAGAAAAAAACAACTTGAGGCTTATAATTGGCATCTTAAGGTGGGGTGGGCAGATCGGAGATCTGATGCTATCTCCAGGTGGATAGCGGGAACTGACCTAATTGGAGGATGCCCAGCTGGTGTCCACTGCCCAACTGCTTACTTGCTAGTGGGGAGAAATCCCCACACATCTGAGGTCACAGGGCCTTCAGTGTTGATTATTGAATGAGTATAGGAATACCTGAGGTTGGTTTATTGTGTATAGTCTCAGAGGGTGTTAGTGTTCTAAGCTATTATAGTTGCCTGGAAAAATGAGAACGATGTTGATGAACCTTAAGTTTGGCTAGTGAAGTTCACATATTTTCATTTCTGGGATAACCACTAAATGAGTGGAGACGGGGTGTGTAACTTCCAAACTGAGGAGAAAATGGAGAGCTACAGCATATTTAACCAAAGCAAGAAAGGAAAGAATAAGAAATAACAGGCAGAACAAAATTTTAAAACAGGAAATATTATAGATTTAATCTTCATTTCAACAGTAATTGCAACAATTTTAAGGAGACTAAATGGTCCAGTTAAAAACAAAAATTATGAGTGGATTTTTAAAAAGTGCAAATAAATGCTATATTCAAGAGACACATGTAAAACTAAGTCCACAGAAAAATGTTAAGTAAAAGGATGAAAGAAAGTAAAGCACTATTAGAAGTGAGCTTGGGAGCCGGCAGGTGACATGGTGGTTAAAGGCACTGGATTCCCACATGGCCTACCATGGTTCAAATCCCGGACCTGACAACTTGTTTTCTCCCTTTCCCTTTCTCTCTCTCTCTGCCTCTCTCTGGTCAAATTAAAAAATAACAATAAGTAGACTTAAATAAATAAATAATTTAAAAAGAAAAAAAAGTGAGCTTGACTTCTAGTCTAATCTAATCTAGCCAACAGCAGTGGCTTTCCCCACATGGGGCTCAGGATGTCGGCAAGATGGGTCTAAGTAAAGCTTTGCAAGTAAGGGGTACTCAGTATTTTTTTACAGTCATGTGCCTGGTTCCCTGCTTCCTGGGGCCTTTTACTCCACAAGCTCCTCTCCTTGTGACTATTCCCATCCGCCATTCCCAAGGGTCACTCTGCCTTATCTCTTTTGCTGAGAGCTTCAAACCAGCCTGTCCACAGCTGCTGGGGGAATATTTTCCCACTAGGTGTACACCCAACAGAATAGTCCTACATGGTCAGTCACCACCTCCTTGTCCTTCCATGTAAGCTGAGTTTGCTGTTGTGAACACATTGGGGTGTCTGACCAATGAGATGACTCTGGATAAAATCATCCCAAACCATCAAACAAACTATAATACAACAAGGCCTTTGGGTAGCCATACGTTCCTATCTCAGAGAAATAAAAAACCTCGTTTATGCGGTGAAAGCTCACCTCTATCCAGGCTAATAGTTTAGAAGGCGCATCTCATTGCACAGGTATCCAAGGAAGCACCTACTCTATCTTCACTGAA